GTACAGCCAAAAGATGTGAAAAATGTACAATTGGCTAAGAAGGGATTATGAGCCAGTTTAAAGTTATAGATAAAGAAGCTGTATACAAAACAGCTGCAGACAAAGAGAGACAGAGTGGTAGTAATTGTTAAAGTGATTAGTGCAATTAAGGAGAAACCTTGAACTCTGTACTAAGACAATAAGATATGATGCCTTGAGGACAAGATCCCACCAATTGAAAGTTCCAGGGCTGTGATAGTCTTCAGTGCCAACTTGATTTGGAATTACCCAAGAGAGATACCTCTGGGTAATTATATTCCCAGGTTCAGACACTAAAGCACACATAAGCCTCTGCATCTGTTGTCAACAAAGAGTAGGCTCCTAAATCCCAAGTTAGTGACAGAAATTGACATTATCCACATATTACAAATTTTGCAGGCATAAGGAATGCAAAAGTTACAGGGATATGGAGGAGTATACCAAGGACCAAAAAAAGCTGCATACTGGGCATGGTGGCAGACATCTTTAATCCCAGCATTCTGTGAGTTCAAGGCCAGCCTGGTCTATATAGTGAGTTCCAGGCCAGCTGAGGTTACAAGGAAACCCTGTCTGTAAAAGATCAAATAATTATGATAATAACAATAATAATAACAACAACAATAAAAACTATTAAGGCCAGGAAATGTATGGCAGTGTCAAATTCATAAAGAGTCCCTTAAAGGCTATTTTTGGGGAGCCAGAGAGATGACTTAAGTGGTAAAGGTGCCTGCCATGCAAGTCTGGCAACCAAGGAAAACTATATCTGTAGACTGCTCCTGTTCCACTACAGCTATGAACTGCTCCTGCTCTATGAACACAGGTACTGAGTACAATTGGCCCAAACAAGAGTCTATATGTGCTTCAGGTGTCATAGCTGTAAGCACAAGGTTGTCAAAGCCTGTTGGAGCCCATGTGATGTCATCATGAACCCCAGATGCTGGAAATGAAACTGTAGGGTTTTGGTGTTTATGCTGTTGGGTTTCTGTCTAGTCCAATCTTTCCTCGCTAGGCTCCCATTCCTCACCTTGGATGAGACTATTACTGCTTGTCATGTATATTGGATGCATGTAATTTGGATTTTATTTTACAAGAGCTCAGAGCTCAGAGATTGCATTGAGTCTCACAAGAGACTTTGGAATTTTGAACAGCGTCAAGGCTGTTCAGATTATGGGCACTTCGAAACTGAACTGAATGTATTTTACATTGCAAGATGGCTATGAGTCTATGGTTCCAAGGCAGAATGTTATAGTGTGAATGTGAAATATCCCCCAAAAGACTTGTATATTTAAATACTTGGTGGCCAACTGGTGACACTGTTTTGGAGGGTTGTAGAACCTTTAGGTGACCTAACTGGAGGAATTGGTAGCTGGGAGGAATTGGCACTGAGTAGCCTGACACCATTTCTATCCCAGCTCTCTGCTTCTTGGTAAGAATCATATAACAAGTAGCTGCCACATAGTCCCACCACTACAGCTAAGAACTGCTCCTACCACCATGCCTTCCCCAGTATGATGGACTGTGCCCTCTCCCAGGAACCAAAATAAAACCTCCCTCTTTTAAGATTTTGTGTCATAATGAACAAAACAATAAAATACAGTTATTATTTTCATTATGTAAAAGAGAAAATTAAGACTGAGAGTAATGAGTTAATCTGTTCTGATTACACTGCCCTTAAGTGGTGGAGGAGACATCCTACTTCAGGGAGTCTGTTACAGAACTATTCTGCTCTATTGCCTCCTTGGAAAGGATTAAGTCAGCTAGCTAGCTAATTATCAATTTGCCTAGGTAATCATGGTCTTTTAAATTTTGGTCCCAGATCTATCTAGTCTAATTTCCAGCTCCTCTTCCCACTATACAAATATAAATGTAGTGACTCAGGATCTTGGTCCTTGTTCAACCTAATATACCTGCTCAACACCAATGAGCTTTAGTTTGGATAAGAATCTTTCCTGTACTTTTCTGACTTCACTCCATCATCAAGGTCATCCTCTATTATCCTGTCTGTTTGTTTGTTTGTTTGTTTGTTTGTTTGTTTGTTTGTTTGAGACAGGCTCTTACTATGCAGCCCTTGCTGGCCTGCAACTTGCTATGCAGCCAGGATGGCTTAGAACTCACAGAGCTCTGCCTGTCTCTACCTCTCGAGTGCTAGCATTAAAGGCATGTGCCACCATGCCTGGCTATTGAACTTTTTTCTAATACTCTTTCCCAATTTGGGAAGAAGAAATCACTTAATCTGCAGTGCTCCAGAATTCCTTGTCAGATGTCTGGTTTAGCTTTATGCTTCTCCCAGAAATTCATCTTCAGGTCCACTAAGAAGATTACTACTTAAGTCC